TCTTTTTCTTAGGTTACTTATAGTATATTTAAACTACTTATATAATAAAATAGGTAACCCACGAATAACCCAAGAAAAACTTAGATACTCACGGGTGCCCACGGGTACCCGTTTTTACACTCTATCTACTGCTAACAAGGAACTGTGTGGTCCGTATGAGAGGGAACAGCAAGGGGTCTGTCCGAGGGCTGCAGAGAGACATGTACGGTCATGGAGACTACGGCAAGGAAACGAAAGATGTTGGGGAGCCTATCAGCAATGTTATTCCTCTGGATCTCGAATACGCCTGTCTCAACTGGGTGCGCCACCTAGAAAGCTCTCAACAGTGTGTTGAATACATCGACGAGGAAGACAGGAGCAAGGTTTTACTTCACCAAATGTCGAGTGTTGTCGAAGAGGTCCAGACATGGCTTGAAGAGCATTTACTCCACTGGATTGAGGCTCTATCTCTACTGGGCAGACTGTCAGATGGTATATCATCCATCAGACAGCTTCGGTTTATACTCCAGGTATGTTTGTTGCGCTTGCATTTGGTCCACAGCGCTAAAGTGTAGCAGTCGAGCTTTGATGCCGATCCCGACTTCGATGCATTCTTGGCCGACGCCGAAAGATTTGCTTTGAGCTACGGATTTATTATCGAACGGTTTCCCTTGCAGATCTACAGCGCAGCGCTTACGTTCTGCCCGACAGACAGCGAGATGAACAGGAGACTTGGAGCGGAGAGGTACTCGGATATCCCGATCTTGAGAGGCGCTAGAATTGGATGGGATCATTGTTTGTACACGCTCAAGGGTCATGGGGCCTCAGTTAATGCAGTCGCCTACTCATCCAGACACAAAGTACTGGCATCTGCCTCAAGCGACAGAACCATAAGGCTCTGGGATGATGTTGCAGGGGCTCACAAACGCACCCTCCAGGGCCACAGCGGCTACGTGTTAGATGTAGCCTTCTCTCCTGACGGTAACACGCTCGCGTCAGCTTCTAGCGATGGGACCGTATGGATCTGGGGTGTTGATAAAGGCAGCCATATAAGGACGCTCGAGGGCCACAGTAGCTGGGTCAACTCTGTGGCCTTCTTAAGTGACAGTACACTCGCGTCAGCTTCGAGCGATGGGACCGTGCGGCTCTGGGACATTAGTGAAGGCATTTGCAAAGATACAGACAAGTCTCATAATGGCCCAGTAAACTCGGTGGCCTCCGCGCGCAATGGAATGGTGCTTGCATCGGGCTCGTCTGATCGGACAGTCCACGTCTGGAACTTCGCAAAGGAACCCTACAACCAAGAGATACTGTCCCACGATGGTCCTGTCACCGCCGTATCCTTCTCGCCAGACGGTGATTTACTTGCATCAGCTTCAGGTAATTGGACCGTGCGAGTCTGGCACGCAGATACACGCTCTCAGGTACGGACGCTAGAGGGCTACCGCAGCGTGGTCAACTCTGTAACATTCATAAACAGCGATAAACTTGCAATAATTCCGAGGGATGGGACGCTACGGATATGGGAGCCCTACAATAATCACATGCAGAAGCTCGAGGGCCGTGGTGGCTGGCTCAATTCCACTGTCTTCTTAGCTGAGCGCAATGTACTCGTAGCAGCTTCGAGTGATCGGACGCTACGAGTGTTGGACGGCATCATAGGGGGCGCTGAGAAGATGTGTGGTCATGATGGTCCCGTTAACGCTGTCGTCTTCTCTCCTGACGGAACGTGGCTCGCGTCAACTTCAAGCGATTGGACCGTACGGCTCTGGAATGCCGGTCAAGGTACTTGCGTGCGGACAATTCACCACCAAAAACGTATCACAGAAGACCAAAGGACAATTGATAACTACAGCTGCTATATTCTGTCCATCGCTTTTTCACCTAACGGCAAGATAATTGCGTCAGGTTGTAGCGATTGGAGTATACGGCTTTGGGACGTCGACAAAGGCACTCTCATAAAAACACTTACATACAAGAATCCACCCCCTAAACCCCCCAACCCCTCTACCCCCCTTACTGGAAAAGCATTGACACCTGAAGACCAGGGCCGTTTCGTCTTGGCTATCGCTTTCTCGCCTGATGGGATGATGATTGCTTCAGGTTCGAGTGATTGGAGGGTACGGCTTTGGAACACCTTTGACAAATATACCTTTGCCTTGGCAACGCTTGAAGGCCATCGTAATTGGGTAAGAGCTGTTGCATTTTCAACAGACGGGAAGTTGCTCGCATCGGCTTCGACCGACGGAATGCTGTGGCTCTGGGATGTCGAGAAAAGGAACAATGGAACGTCGATCTACGAGGATTCGGCATCGAACATTTTAAGGGAACGGTGTTGTGACGTCAATGAAAGCACCCATCAACAAGATTGGGTCAGAACCGTCGCCTTCTCTCCAGACGGCAAGGAGCTTGCGTGGGCTCTGACCGACGGCACGGTATCTTTTCTGCCACTAGACTTCGATCAAGTCAGAAGCATGAGGGCATGCGACTCCCTGGCCGTCGCATTCTCACTTGATGGTATGGTTCTGGAGACAATGCGTCGCTTGAGGCCTATTCCTGAAAGTCCAAAAGAGCCTAGCAGAAGCCCACCAGGAACGCGTCCCATATGTTTTATCAATGACCCTGATTCCGTGTGAGCTGCCCATCCCCTGGCTGAGGTCCAGGCCTTTCGAGGCTAACTTATATTAGGTGGAAGTACTTGGAAGCACTCATTTCCAAAATCATGTACAGCCGGGAGCCGGAGAAGGTCGTAGATTCGGGTAGAGTGTGTATTACTTCTTACAGAACAATTCTGCGACTTGGATTGACAACACTGACACTTCGTCACTAGTATGAAGTTATTCATAAGTCAGTACTTCATCACTCTGCACCTCTATCGATTCCCCAATATTGACTCTTCGTAGCGCTATCTTCGGCCCCTGCGGCTGCCAACACTTCCATTCAAGATCTCCGCCTCGACAAGGTATGGGTCCCGGACATCATCTACACATTGCTCGGCTGACCTGTTCTAGAATATCCCAGCGTCGCATATCACTATGTCTACAGGAAGTTGCGAGACTACTTAAGGAAACATCTCGAGCAAGTTGTCGGCAAATCGAAGGCTCGTACTGGTGAAGAGTTGCTCACTTTCTACAATCAAGAATGGTCACGCTATATCGAAGCTGCCAAGTATACAAACAATCTACTCCAGTATCTCCAACGGACTTTAATAGAGCAAAATATTGATAAAAGCACGGAAGGAATCTACGATGTCTACACCCTTTACCTTATCCAATGGCAGTTCGTAATACTCGGTAGTATTTCCGGGAAGATCATCGAGGTTGTCTTGAAGTTGATTGAAAGGGGGCGAAACGGCGAGATCATCGAGAATGGTATAATCAAGCGCGTAGTTGAATCATTTATTTCACTGGGTATTGATCCCGATGACCCGTCTTTGACAACTCTTTGGACCTATCGATTCTATTTCGAGAAACAGTTCTTGGAAGCAACCAAGCAGTATTACCGCAAGACGAGCAAACACTACCTCGCAGAGAAGGGTGTTGTCGAATATATGAGGTGGGCCGAGCTACGCCTGGATGAAGAGGACGAATTATTGCGGATCTGTCTCCATTACGACACTACAGGTCCGTTGAGGGATGCCTGTACCCAAGTTCTTGTGACGGAGCATTCCGAAGTTCTGGAAAAAAACTTCCAGTCCCTGCTTGATGACGGCCGTGAGGAGGACATGGCTCGTACCGTCAATTTTCTCGCACACGTGCCATTTGGCCTAGCTCCTTTACGCTTGCAGTTCGAGACTCGGCTGCGAAAAGCGGGCTTGGCCGCCGTTGTCAAGATCTCGAAACTGGAGCCTAAGATCTACGTTGGTCCTGTTTGCACCCAATATCACGATCTTGTCAGGTGGGCTTCGAATGAAGATATGCAGTGGACGAGATCATCGAACGACGTTTGCAGAGAACTTATCAGCCAGCACGACGACTGCGAAATGGAATCTGACGGGTTTTCTGAGCCATTTTCCGAATATAATACTGAACTCACCGAGGCAGAAGGCCCAACGGATGTCATTTCCATTACTGAAGATTGGATAGCTCGAGATGGATGTAATCTTTTGTGTCTTCCGCCAGATTACAGGGCCACATGTGCGGCGCGATGGAACAACGTTCTTGTCCTCGGACATAGGTCTGGTCGAGTGTCATTCTTCCAATTGCCATGAGACAGGACACTATGCACACTGTCTACTTGGAACATTAAAGAGCCTATTAGTTTGGCAATATGAACTGGCCAACTTGGTGCTAATTTCCAAGTAATACGGAAACCAGAATAAAACGAAGACTATGGAGTTGATGAGACTATAATTCAAGTTGCATAATAAAGTCAAAGTAAAGCCAGGAATAAAATAATCTTTTGATCTATTATTTCCTTTTCTTGGTTCCCAGTCTTTCCCCTAATTCGCTGGTATTCTTCAATCTGCCTTAATAGGACGTAGTAGTATATATATCGTTAATTGGCTCCGGAAGTGATGAAACGGGACCCAAAATAATTCATTGATGGGTTTCCTTAATGGAACGGGTTGGCACTTGGCGACAGGCATCTAGATATATCATACATATGTACGGGGTCTGGTGTCTTGTGCAGCTGCAGAATGTAGCATCGACAGCCCGGCTCCCCCAGCCTTCTTCCCAGCCAACCACTTCACCACCATCCATTTCCATCTACAAAACAGCTTGGGCCCTTTCACTACATCGCAACCCCAGCCAAACATGGCTCGCAAGCTCGTACAATGTCTTTAATCAGCGCCCTCATGGCGCAATTCAAGGCCCTGCCATACCCCGACGAGGATTGTGCCGGTCGCACCGTCATCATCACCGGCGCAAACACCGGCAAGTCGTCTTCTTCCAACCCCCCAAACTCATCACAAAGCTTGCCCCCGGAAGCGCGCTCACCTCCATCTAACACGCTTGCATACACAGGACTTGGCCTAGAAGCAGCCCGTCACTTTGTCCGTCTCAACGCCACGAGAGTAATCATTGCTTGTCGCAACGTAGCCAAAGGAGCGGCGGCCAAGGCAGACATTGAGAGCACAACGCCGCGGCACGGTGCGATTGAAGTATGGCAGCTCGATTTATGCTCGTTCCAAAGCGTCAAGGAGTTTGCCTCCCGCGCCGCGCACCTCGATCGCCTCGACGTGCTGCTGAATAATGCAGGCATTGTAGTCATGCACCATGAGCTCCACGATGGATACGACACCACGACGACGGTGAATGTCCTGTCAACGCTGCTTCTCACCTTGCTGTTGCTCCCGAAGCTGCGTCAAACGGCGAGCCGGTTCAATATCACGCCGCGTGTGACTATTGTTTCTTCCTTTGGCGCATTCTATGTATGTATGCGTGGAATATCCGGCGTGAAACCTGGGTGCTGACGGTCGGTAGGCGTCTTTTCCGCAGAGAACCGCAGAAGATATATTTGAAGAATTCAAAAAGGATACGTACTTTTACGATCGGTACAATTGTACCAAGCTGATTCAGCTCATGATGGTGCGGCGCCTCGCCGCGGCGGTGGATGCCTCTGGCAAGGGACGCGTGCTGGTAAACGCCGTCAATCCGGGCCTTTGCAACACGGAGCTCTTTCGGCGCCTCTTCTTTCCTATTAATATCGTGTGCTCTATTCTTCTTGCTGCTTTCGCGAGGAGCACCGAGATGGGGTCGCGCACTCTAATGGCTGGTGTATTTGCGCCCGAGATGCACGGCAAGTTCATGTCCAACTGTGAGGAGGAGGCTTGGCCGAGCATAATGCTCGGCAGGGAGGGAGAGGCGCTCAGTTCTAGGGTCTGGGGCGAGTTGCTGGATATAATGGAGGGGATTGAGCCTGGTGTGACTGAGAACCTGTGATTGCCTTGACGTCGAATATCGTACCTGGAGCCATGAAACTGAGAAGATTACTTGGGGCTTGGATTTTGCACTGATACATACACTGCATACAGTTGTATATAAATGGAACGACTCGTTTCCAGCTTTTAGCTGTAAATCTGAGTTTCAGCACAGTTTGCAAAGTTGAGCGCCGCGACACTTCAGTCCGTGTTCCCTTCTACACCACAGAGCCCGCAGAATGGCGTTCTTTATTCTGGCGCCATCGACGAGTCGAGAATAACCGTCTTTTTAGTATGCAGATGAGTTCGGAGGCTTCGGAAAGCCCACGCGATGCCGTCATTATCTGCCCTGGGACATGGGACCTTGATCGTTGGACCATGACCGAAATCCACGACTTGCCTCCGGACAGGGCCTTCAATCGAGCATCCCCAAGGCAAAGGACTGCAGAAATCATACGCCGCGAACACTACCCATCATGCAAGAACGACGAATTACCATCTTGGCTTGCTGTCTGCCCGATAGACATCTTGGCGTATGTGGCTAAAGTCTAATTCCTGACGCTGGCCGATTCAGCTCCCCAATTACACGAGCATCACGCCAACATGGTCAAGTTGAAATCCTAGCAGCATGGAATCAAACACCCATATTCATATAAAGAGCACCCGAGCCCCAATCCTTGCACACGCCTCCAATGCTCTGTCCACCAGCCCGCCATATCAGATGGATACCGCTTTGCAAACACCATGGCGTCCAAGGCAGTGACTGAGATAATTCGCACTCAAAATCAGCAGGCTCGCCAATCTCTCCCCTTCGAGGACGAGACAGATTTTCAAAATGCGACAAAGGGCCGGATGGGGACGTGCCAGCCCAACGTCATCACTAACGCCGCTGGCGACGTGATATGGGACAATGATTCGTACAAGTTCCTTGCAAACGAGGCCCCGGATACCGTGCACCCCAGTCTCTGGCGGCAGGCCCAGCTGTGCCAGTTGGACGGTCTGTTCCAGGTCACAGAGGGCATCTACCAGGTCCGCGGCCTGGACATATCCAACACGACCTTTATCGAAGGCGACGAGGGCCTCGTCATCATCGACGTGCTGACGTGCTCGGAGACGGCGGCCGCAGCTTTCAGACTGTACCAGCAGCACCGCGGCAAGGACCGGCGCATCAAGGCCATCGTCTACACGCACTGCCACGCAGACCACTTTGGCGGCGCAAGGGGCTTCGTCACGGAGGAGCAAGTCCACAGGGACGAGATCAGGATCATCGCGCCAGAGGGGTTCCTCGAGCACGCCGTCTCGGAGAACGTGTTTGCCGGCACCGCCATGGGCCGCAGGGCGGGCTACATGTACGGCGCGGCGCTGCCCCGGGGCCCGGGGGCCCAAGTCGGGGCCGGGCTGGGCCAGACGGCGCCCACGGGGACGGTGACGCTGATGGCGCCCAACGACACGGTCAGGACCACGGGCGAGGAGAGGGCCGTCGACGGCGTGAGGATGGTGTTCCAGATGGCGCCGGACACGGAGGCGCCGGCCGAGATGCTCGTGTACCTGCCGCGGTCCCGGGCGCTCTGCGCCGCCGAGGACGCGACGCACACCTTTCACAACATCCTGACGCTGCGCGGCGCCGTGGTCCGCGACGCGCGCCGCTGGAGCAGCCGTCTCGCCGAGACGATCGACCTGTTTGGCGGCAGGACCGACGTGGTGTTTGCCTCGCACCACTGGCCGACGTGGGGGGCGCCCGACGTCGCCGACTTCCTCGCCACGCAGCGCGACCTGTACGCCTACGTGCACGACCAGACCCTCCGCCTCCTCAACAGGGGGCTCACGGGCCCCGAGATCGCCGAGGCCATGGCCCTGCCCCCGGCGCTCGACAGGGCCTGGAGCGCCCGCGGCTACTACGGCTCCCTGAGCCACAACGTCAAGGCCATCTACCAGCGCTACATGGGCTGGTTCGACGGCAACCCGTCCCATCTGTGGGAGCACCCGCCCGTCGACCGCGCACGGCGCTACGTGAAGCTCGCGGGGGGCGCGGGGCAGGTCGTCGACGGCGCGAGAGAGGCGTTTGAAGGGGGCGATTTCCGCTGGGCGGCCGAGATACTGAACCACGTTGTGTTTGCGGAGCCCGAGCACGCCGAGGCGAGGGGCCTGCTGGCAGACACGTACGAGCAGCTGGGCTACGGGAGTGAGAACGGGCCGTGGAGGAATTTCTACATGTCTGGGGCGGCGGAGCTGCGCGGCGGCAAGTTTGGCGCGCCGACGTCGACTGCGTCCGGGGACGTAGTCTGCCAGCTCACGCCCGAGATGGTGTTTGACTCGCTGGCCATCAGGATCGACGGGCCGAGGGCGTGGGGGCAGAAGCTGACGATTGACGTGGTGGTGGTGGACGCCGGTGAGCGGTACAGATTGTCGCTGTCGAACGGGGTGTTGGTGTACTCGGCGGCGAGGCAGGAGACGAGCGCGGACGTGACACTCTCGGCGACTCGGAGGCAGCTTTGTGCGTTGGCGGGCTTGGGACTGGACTCGGGTGCTCTGAAGAGGGCTGGCCTTGAGATTGACGGGGATGTCTCGGTGCTGGCGAGGCTCGGGGGGCTGCTGGATCCGGGGGACAGGAACTTTGATATTGTTACGCCGTGAGATTCCCCGGTACATTGTGATGGGGTTGCCGTGAGGTTTGTTGTAATTGTATCAAGTTGTCGTTCGGGCGATTACACACATGGCCCGAGGACCTTGGTAGGTGTTAAAGGATGCTAGGTTTCCGCTACGACTTTAAAGAGAGAGCGCGAAACGAAGCGTGTTCATGCGTGGACAAGCTCCAATCGTTTCAACGTTTATGGGTTTACTCTCCAAGTACAAGTCTCCGTGTCCAACGGATAAGTAGAGCGAATCTACAACCTGTCAGAAGAAACGTATCCCCATGAGCAAATGTACACTATTTTATTGGCACGGCTTGCATACACAGATACGTTGTCGGTTTCAATACTCTTGCTTCCGAGTGTAACGCACTCCCGTTCACCGCGGGAGCGACGTTCTCTCGTGATGACATTCCTCCCAGGGCACACAATCCGGCTCATACTCCGTGCCTTCATCCGGAAGTACACCAGTGGCCATGTACGTCCGCACCACCTCGTTCGTACACTTACTCGGCGCTGAATACAAAGCACAATGCCCCACAGACTTTTGTGTCAAGACCCTGGATCCCGGATGGCTCTTTGACACCCTGTGTGCGTTCTAGAGCGGCGTTATAGGATCAATCCAGCTGGATAAGAGTAGGGCCGGCGCAGAGGGTCGTTCCTGTTCATCGCGTGGATCTGCTTCCGGAGACGAAAATGGCCCAGTGAATCTGTATTCCGGCCTGCTTTTCCATCCGGAGCATGTAAAGGGTATTTTGGCAACATGGTGTCCGAATTCCGGAGATTGGCCTCCAAGTTTTTCAAAGTAGCCCTGCCAGTAGTGCTCGTTGTGGTGCGTCATGTCTTGAGCGTCACCGCATACTACCGCCGAGGACGAGAGACCAAGCCAGTTGTATTGATATGGTTTCTTCGGGGTACAGCCATCCCCCGGGCGGTCGAGGCCCGTGTTTTGTAGAAGTAAGGTGTAGTTGCCTTGTAATGCGCTTGCCAGTGAGTCCGCCAGCCGTTCAAACTTGTCGACGGGCTGATATAGTGCACTAAAGATGGACGAACGAACCATATTAGCTGTGATGATGGTTTCTGTGCCCCCTTGTGTTAGGGCTGGTCTTGGGTTGGCCTCCAACCCGCCAAGCAATGTATTCACTCTGTCCCGTATTGAATGCCAAGAATGGTCGGACGACTCGGTCAAAGGACACTTGGCCACGGCTTCAAAGCACGAGCGGTAGAAGTATTCAAGCGCTTTCTCGCTATCAAGAAGGGAGTTGTGCCAGTCCTAACGTGCTCAACAATTAGACGGTCTTTTTCCAAGTCACTTGCGGTTGTCATAAGATACTTACCGCTGCTACCCAGTCCTCTGGAACTATCACCCCATCGAGAACCATGCGCTTTACACGCCCGGGAAACATGGACATGAAGAGGTTTCCTAGAAAGCTGCCATACGAAGTACCGTAATATTGCAGTCTCGCCATATTGGCAGAATTGCTCGTCACGAGCTTCTAAGCTTCGCGTTGGAGCTTTTATGCCAAGGTTTTCTGATGTAGGCTTTCAATCTCGTCGATGATGCGGACCATGTCGCGGGCAACAGACGCCGTAGCCATGTAGTCTTGGATGGCGTACCCGTGGGGGCCTGGCTTTGCGCATTGAAGGCCCCGCGCCGCCGCGAACGCCTTTTGGTATTTGAGATTATCGGCAGACGCGTCGAAATTGGTGAAGCCTTAACTCTGCCAGATGGCGGCCGTTCGTGCGGGCTCGCTGGCACAGCAATCCGCCGCTGGTTTGCTATGTGCCACCCCTCTTGGATCAAAGGATATGATCTTAAAGTATTTGTCGCCATCCATCATGGTTTGCATGTAGCGGCCGTTTTCTAGGATGTGAAGAACGCCGGAACTGCCTGGACCCCCAGGGTTTGTGATGACAGTGCCGCCAAAGGAGGCATCGCCGCAGTCCACGGCGGCCGGCAGCTTGATTATCGAAAGAGCTACGGCTTCGTTTGACGATTCGGCATTAAGCCAATCTAATGGCATGAGCAGGCGAGCACATTGAAACCCGTCGTGGCATGGTGAATAGTGAAGATCCCAGGAGGGCTTGACGGCATCCCAGTTAAAGTCGGACGCATCGGTTTCCACCGAAACCGCCTCTAAAATTAGTGCCGCCCATCCCAGAGCCCGGATACACGTCCCCATTTCAGCCTAGACGTTCGATGGCGAAGTGTGGTCAGGTGCTGATATCGCAGTGTACTGTCACATGGGGTGCGATGGGTACGCGACGCGCGATGGTAGGAGACGCCGAGATTGAAGACTAAAAACGCAATTCATTCATCTCTAGAATAAAAGAGGATTAAAGGCGGTACGTTTTTTTCCCCTTGTTTCTTGCTCCGGGCGCATTGCTACAAGTCGAGTGAGAATGAAAAGGGAAAAAAACAAAATTGTGTTTGGGTCCAAGAGAAAATACACCAATTGGCCAATCCAAGCCACGACATGAGACAACTCGTCTCTATGCCCGCGACCTTTACATATTCCCGGAGAAAGAGAACCCAGTCATAACTAAAAGTGAAACGATTCCATCCTCTCCTCCAGCTCTCCGTCTGCACAATGACCGTTTTTGCACCCCTCACACAGATCCCTTTCGTGCGGTTTTCCGTTCCCACCAGAGTAGGGAGGCGGCTCAAGCTTAATGTCAGACCACCTCTTCAGACGGTATGCAATTCGTTCCGCGTAAGAGTCGTCTAGAGTTGGCCGACCCAGAGAGTTGCAGGACTTGCAACGCTGATTATAAACCCTAGCGTTGTACCTCGAACCAGGGTACAGTCGAACCCAGACGGCGATTTTCTTGCTGGACCATCCTTTCTGGGTGCATTTTGTATTGGGGCAGTCGAAGCGGCCCATGACATTGGTATCGCGATCTTTGATATGGCCGGTTTCCTCGTCGGCATGTTGAAAAGTGAAATGGAGTTTCTCTTTCTTCAAGAGGTCCGCTACTGCGCGATGGTGTTCCGGGAACATTGACCACCCTTTAGTCCGAAGAGGCATCGTAAATTTTAGCCAGCTAAAGAATCGTCGTGAATGAATGAATCGACCCATTTAGAAATCTGATGAAGTCAACGGTGAAAGACTCTTGCGGAGAATGGCGGCACGTTCCATTGAAATGGGTAAACCGTGCCAATTTATACCTGGGTTGAGGCGAGATCTCGGCGCGTTCACTGCTACAACAAGGACGCGTCGATAGCTTCACGGGTGGCAGTACACCAGTACCAGAGCCTGTGAATACGGTCAAAGCAAACGAAGAAGGTGGAAACACCTGCTGCCTCGCAAAGACTTCCTGTCACGAGGGCCGTCCCCCTGTCCGAATCCCGAGATGCTCGTTTGCGCCATTGGGGGTTTTCCTCGGATATTTCCAATCTTTCATGAAAATACCACTGTGACCTGTGGGTGTGAGTAAGTTACAATGGCACCTACCTCTGCTTTCACCCTTCAGCTCTGTTGCCAAGGCAGGCCAATATACACGGCTTCCTTTAACGACTCACCTCAGGCCAAGATTAGTAAAGCGTATGCTTGCTTCTTTACTATTTGCACCATGTTTAGATTCTCAACTTGATGACGAGAAATCCAATGAGAATAACTTGGGTAATTTGCCCCATCGGAAGCAGCTTCACTCCATGACATGGGAGGTTCTCAAGCGTACACATAACAAGCTTGCCCCTGAGGTTTCCCGACAACAGTGCAAGTACCAGAGTTCGACTCTAGGCTTTGGCCTACAACTAAATTACAAGAAAGCCACGCCAAAACCACCCTTCCTCACAGAACGGTTGGGCTGAAATCAGACCACACCACGTACGTGCGGGAGGCTTATGTGCTCGCGACGGGCGGCAGCACATCCACAGGAACCCAAACGTTTTCCATCACAAGAGAATAAAGTGGCTAGATATGTCGCTCATACGCCCGGCACTCGAAATATTGTCGTGACGAGAAGTAAAGTCTGCAGGGGCGTAACATTATCGGTGCGGCGAGTGAGCCCAATACCAACCAGGGCAGACAGATACCACAGGCGACGCGAGGGAAACCTTTTCAAGTCATATCAAGTCCAACAATGACGTATGCAGACAACCTACTCGGATAAAGGAACAGCAGACTGGCCTATATGAAACTCCAAGTCTTGGAATAGGCGTGTTGATTTCAAGACACGTCTAGATGCATCACTTTCATGTCCCTACAGCCCATATACTGATACACTTTACCCCCCTCAATAATGATACCCTCACGCTAAACCCACATATTCAATTCCCACTCAAGTCCATGCTGTCTCCCCAGCCAAACATATCCATACCATTCGTATCCAGGCCGCCAAACAAATCGCCGTCGCTAGTGGCATCTAATCCGCCTGCGCTTCCCGGGCCGCCAATACCCATGTCTAGCCCGTCAACCGTCATGCCATCTCCGCCAACACCAACAGCTGCCATGGCATCAACGTCCCCGAGGCCACCTGCTCCAGAGCCAAGGTCGAGCTGGATTCCTGGTGCCTCGAGAATGGTCTGGCTCTGGGGCATCACCATGTGTGCTTCAACGCGGCGATAGAGGCGAACCACAATCTCGGCCAGGACAGGGTCCGCCTTTTGTAGCTTGTTACAACCTTCGGCTTCGAGGCGCAGGACTTCACGGAGCGTCAGGGGTCGTTGAATGGCGGGTAGAACATTGCCAGATGCGTCCATCATTTGGTTGTTTGGCGGAGGCTCATTTGTGACGTTGGGAGCGCAAACAATTGCCGCGACGACGTCGTACACAATGTTAGCGCTACCCGTCTCAGATTGCGTGCGAACTTCTTCCAGAAGCAGTCGGAGCGTCCGCTTAGCTCCCGTGATTTTTTGCGCAGCGATTAATTGTCTGTGTGTGTAAGATGTGGGCATGCTATTAACACTTGGATGCATGCTCCATTGCACGAGACCTTGTACTGTATGCCTCAAGGCACCTGCAAGTCCCGTGCTAGAGCTATTAGTCCATGACTCCAGTTCATTGTGATCTGCGCCACCGGTTCGCCGTGACAGCGGCAGGCTGTCCTTGAGGGCTCTCAGGAGAGGCTCAATATCCTGGTTCTTGGGATCTTGGCGCTGATATGTCCGGAGCGAGTGCTCCAACGGTTTCGCTACTAGATTTCGGACTGATGATAACATGGTGCTTGCCTCCCCGGAGATGGAGCTGGGTAGCAGGATGAGTTGCAAGATTTTAATAATTGCCTTTTGCTCTTTCTGCTCTACCCACAGGTAGTCTGCGAGGAAACGCAGTGCCGGTACAAGTGAAGGCAGTAAAAACGTATCCACCAAGTCTGAAAAAGTAAGTAAGTTGGTGCAACACTTCACAGTGGCAAAACAACAAGAACCAAAAACAACTTACATTCTACACCTCCTTTTAGAGTTTCATCACTGAGATAGCCATAGGTGTACGCCACGACAATATTCTGGAACAGAGACGCTACGAGCAGATAAAAGTCCTGTGGCGGACATGAAGACATTAGATCATCACCTAAGCCTCCGGAATCAGCAAAGAGGCCATGAATCCAGCCACTTAAATGACCCTTTTCTTGCTCAGTCAGCTCATCCCTGTCACGGCTAATGTGTGCTCTACCAAGGATTTTGGCAACACAGGAGTCGGGTGACGTGATGCCAATATCAGCAGCAGTCAGGTTATACCGGTACGCAAAGGCCAGCACAAGGAGGAGGATGGAGCCGAATTCTTCGTATATGGGCTGGTATTCGCCTTGATCCTCCTCGTATCGCCAGTTATCCAGGAGCTGACATAATGGGTCCAGGATAGAAGGTAGCTTCTCAAAGAGCAACAGAATGTCGAGAATGTGAGGCTTCTGTGCCAGTTGACTACACAAAAGTTTCAACGACATGGTTTCCTTATTGTTACAGAGTTGACGCATCACCTGTTGGCCAAGTTAGCAGTGCAGCTTCTTGCAGGACTCGGCTGGCAGATTTCATACCTCTACCAACGCCTGGCAGACCGCGCCAACGTTGCCATCCATCTTCTCAAGTTCTCGTATTAATCCCTGTACCTTTTCGGCGTCGGCCAAACAATCCTGAACAAGCTTTTCCTTGGAGTACTTTTCTAGTGAAGGCTCATATGACATGGATAACTCGCCTAAAATCCGTTCGACGTGCTCCCTTTGCACCAGGCCGTGAAGAGCACAGGCTGTGCAGAATTCCTCGCGCACGCTCTCAGTATACGGATTGTTACTTCTAGATTCGTCAAACATAAGCGAGGCGGTTGGAAATACGCTAGTATCTACTTGGCTCAGAGCCTCGGTGATGCAAAACTCGGAAGCATTGGTGTCAAATGTTGGTTCCCGGAGAAAGAGGAGGCATAGGAGAAGGGGTACTTTGTTGACAAGAAAAGATTTCAACAAATGTGCGTCTTTGGGTCCTTCATTGCGGAATACAGCATTGGCAAGGATATCAAACGATGCCACTATCAATTCAATGGCGCTCGACTGTGTTGCACCCTTCAAAGTCGATCAGCCAAGCAGCCATCTCAGGCTGGGGCGGTGCGGACCTACCTGATATCGATTCTGTAGATATGATATCAATACATTGTCGTCGACCAAAGGACGTCCTACAAGCTAGACTGGGTCAGTGATGAACGCCATGCCTCGGTGTATCTGGCAACATACCGATGCATTCAAAAAGACGTATACTGCCGATCTGGTGTTGGAGATTAGCAAGTCGGGGATGACAAAACTGTCTAGACCAACAGTTGTCCCCAGAAGCTCGTCCATGGCGGCATTGGCGGCTGCCTGGTCCTTCTTATCAATCGGATCCAGTCTGGCCAAAGTTTCGGTGCGGAAGATCTCTAGCCTTTCGACAAAGCCCGGGGCCGGCTGCAGTGTCTGAATAAAGCCAGCCAAATTGTTTGAGAGGCTTTTTCGAAAAGCTAACGATGTTAGCCTGCCAACCTGACGCCAGGTATAGGGGAACCGTACCTTTAGCATGCGGGCTGCTAATGGCCTTGACAAGCGCAGGAACCTCGACCAGTCGCAACAAGAGCGGGACAAAGGCAGCTCGGGTAGTCTCCATGTCAATACGGGCCTGTGAGTTCTGCAGTTCGCCCATGACATCTGTCGCGAAGACATTGGATACTGAGGTGAAAAGCTCCATCCATTTGGAAATGACTTGCACCAGCTCCAGAACGACGCGTGAATCTCGAAGGGCGGTTCCCTCCACAATGATCTTGATAACATGATAGAACATGAACTCTTCCACCCAAGCCGAACTATTCCACCGCCGCGGGTTCTTGCTCTTCTCTTTTGAACCCTGGTCAAGGTTGTTGTCCTTGCTCGCGGACTGGGTTTCATTTTGCAGCGATGGTTTGAGCTGCGTGTGCAGCGACGAGAACTTGTACAAAACCTTCAAAATGGACGGCGCATCAACATATCCCAGTTTGCTAAGAATCTGTATATATGGCGGTATCCGTGGATCGAGGCTCACGACGTTGTGAGGCTGCGGTCGAAGGAATAAAAGGGCGATCAGGAAGGGCGGGAGAGGATGCTGGTCTTGGACAAGCGGGATGAATTCCTCAAATGTCTCTGTATTGAGGCGCTTGAATATGCATTTATCGACAAAACGCGACCAGTATTCCATCGAATCGCGCAATGCGCGCTCGGGTCCGGAAGAACCAATGAGCTGGGCCATTGCGAAGTTGGTGATGGATGCGTCGATGAACGGGGTAGATTCAAATATTATCGCGCATTGAAAGGGAGCGGAGAGGACCAGCGGCCATGGAGGAAGATGGTGCTGCGCGCGGCAGCGCAGGAAAAGATGCTCGAAGCTAAAGAAGCGTCAGCGAAGTTGGTGCGCGCCTCAAAGGCCAAAAAAAAGTTGCAGCCTCGTCGAAATGAAGCTCAAAGAGGCTGAGTGACGAACTCCAACTTGAAGGCCGGTGGATCTGACTGGCTCCTGCCGGACAAAGAAGCCAAAGTGGGGCAAAATTGAACCAAGAGAGGAAGGAAGCTTGGCAACTACGCCCGACGAAACTGACGGTGCAAATCAATGCTACATCCGGGCTCTCGGCATGACAAGGCCGTCGGGGGGTTCTATCGCTCTCATTTATATTAAAAAGTTCCTTTACATTCGTTCAATCGGGACAACATATTGATTCTCAATTCATGCGACTCGAACAGGCACAACTCGCTGCATCTGTTGCATGTCGCGATGACCAGGCTGATGATACCATTGACGTCGTTGGAACACCGGAAAGCACTATCGGACTGGCCTTGCCTGCTGAAGTGCCATCGACAACATGGCGGGTGAATGCGAGGAGGGAGGCAACTAGGCTAAACATGGCGCATGCTGCTCTTCCCAGCCCGCTTAAACACCAAACGTCAACTCAAAATATCCATGAGGTCAAACTGTGCCAAGATATTATCCCGAGGATTGGACATGGAGAAGCCAGGGTCGGGCTGCTTCTAGATTCCATGCCAGGAGCTGTTGGTGTGGTGCAAATGACGACTCCAGGTTGGCCTGCCACATGTCCCATCTCACTTTTCTAGTTTGGCATGGCTGTCACGCATATCTATCTGACCTTCATCTAGACGTTACCAAATCATTACACGTGAACTGTACTGTAATTTGCCTGTCATCAGGCTTGAATCGAGCTAAGCTAGGTCTACCAACTCTCTCACCGGTGCTCTGCTTCCTCACTGTGATGCAACTTGGCTTCCAGGTCAAACCAGCGACTTGCGACAAACAGGCCCATCCGAAAGATGAAAATACCCGTCACATCAGGCAATTTACACTCTTCGAATGAGGACCAATGTCCACCCTATCTCTCTTGAGAAATTCATCCGCAATACGCATTCCTCCCCCAACGAGTGCAAATGTTTCTAAACTGCGTCTCCCTATCGCCCGTGTCGCAACAGTAGCCGTAATGCCAGATCCCTATGAAACAAGAAAATGTTTGCGAGCCATTAAGTTCACGACAGATAGATCTGGTCAACCCCTCGGGGTCCGAGCTGCCTTCGGCAACACACCATGTAGCCCTGACAGACGCGGCTGCGAGCAGGGCAGCTACGGCGGCCATGTTGATGGACAGCTTCATTTTGCCTACTGCCGGTTAGGCGGGAGAGCTGTAGAATACTGCCCCGATTCTACTTACAAGTCTTGTATGGTTGTATGGTGTGTGTTTGGCGGTTATGTTATTGTCAGCGACTGAGTAGACTTGGGCGGATATGTTGGAGACAGAATGGACAAAAGAGAAGCAAAGCCATGATATTTATACACAAAGTGCTCCAGTCTCGACCGAGTCGGGCTTGAGTCAACTGCCGAGCTGCAGATTTATGGGCATGCGATACGACTCCAGTTCCTGCAGTCATCTTCGCATCCCGAGGTGATATTGCAGTCGTCTCCGCGAATAGGACGTCTCTCCCACCACTACTGATCCAAGTTGGGATGCTCAGCACGACACGATGGCAGCTGAATGAGGATGCCAAGAGGCGTCGTGGCCAATATATAAAATGCGTCTGCCGTGTTGTGTTGAGAATCATAGACTCTGCGGCCTTCATTGGGTCAAGCTGGTGCAAGCAGCAGCATCACTCTGTACACGATTCCAAGAACAGCAGTCGGGCGTATGCAGTCATGCGCCCAAAAAAAGGAACAGACAGCCAGCCACAGACACAGTCTCCAACCCGTCAGGAAATTTCCATATCATAATGCCAATATTGTGCTTGTCTCTCAGGGTATCTCAGTCTTGTGACGGCCAGCGGACGGGGCCCTCACCACCGCCAGGGCAGCTTGATGCCTTGCCAATCAAATGGCTAACGCGGCCAAACTAAAAACGGCATAGCAAACCAAGCGCGTCAAACACAGTTCTTACGAAACTTGACGGCCATCAACGCCGTCGGTCCCTCGGCCCCCCACAATGCCGGCCCAAAAGTGGCATCTTGACCATCGAGCATCCATCCGCCATTCGCGCAGCCTCATCATGATCATCTCTCAAACGGCTTGAAATAAGTTAATAGTTATCTGAAGACAAACCCAATGACAGACGGGATCTGCCGGCGCAGCAGCAAAAATATCCACCCGTGGCGCCCGGAAATCAACCCGATTAGACCGTCTCCCCTGGAATCCGTGCACCATGATTTTTTTTGTTCCGTCATGCGTGGGGGTTCCCTTGGAGCAAACATCTGGGCCAATTAACTACCCCATTCATTGATTTGCACCGTTTTGCATGTCTTTCAGATCTTCTTCGTCTCATTTTTCTCGAGCGAGTTTCCCCAGTTGGAACGTCATTAGAGTTCCCGTCCGCTCAACGAAGTGCCGGTGGTTTGGCATGACATCTGCCCCACGCGTTGGGGTTCATGAATAATAATATTGGCGAGTTTGATGACGACATTCTGCAATTCTTTTAACCTCTTTTTTTTTTTTTTTGGACTTCGAGAGCGCTTTTCTGGCGTGTTTCCATGATGAGACCAGTCTTGCTTGGGCTTGCGCCCATCGGAGCCGCGGCACTTGCTCTCTCGCCTCCTGTATATCCAACCCGTGAGTCTATACATGCATATATATTTGTTACCTCTGGGTTGGGCGTCTGCTGAGCTCGTCACAGCGGAAGGAAGAGGCCACGGGCAATGGGCAGAAGCCTACGTCCAGGCCCGCGCCTTTGTCGCCTTGATGAGCCTCGAAGAAAAGGTCAACATCACGCGTGGCTTCGCCGACACGAGCAACACCTGTGCTGGCAACACCGGATCCGTGCCGCGACTCAACTGGCATGGACTGTGTCTTATGGATGCGGGGAATGGCGTCCGGGCAACAGACATGGTGAGCTCCTGGGCGTCAGGGCTGCACGTCGGCGCCAGCTGGGACAAGAATCTTACCTACGAGAGAGGGCTGTGGATGGCAAGGGAATTCAAGGCCAAAGGCGGTAGGTACCCTGCAGTCAACTCAGGCTGAGTTGCCTAATTCTTGACACGGGCGGTGCTAATCGAGTCCTAGTGAATATCGCGCTTGGTCCAAACGCCGGTCCTCTTGGCAGAACTCCTCTGGGTGGCAGAAACTGGGAAGGCTTCTCGGTTGACCCCTATCTCTCGGGGGCGTTGAACGCCGAGACCATCACGGGCATGCAAAAGGCCGGTGTTATGGCAAACCTCAAGGTAATTCCTCCAAGGTCCTCGGTATCATCAGCTTAAATCCCCCCCAAAGGCTAACGCTGCTGTTCAGCACTTCATCGCAAACGAACAAGAAACGTATCGCCGCCCCTATTCCGGCGTAGAGGCAGTTTCGTCCAACATTGATGACAAGACACTGCACGAGTACTACCTCTGGCCTTTCATGGATGGCGTCAAAGCCGGCGCCGCCTCCGTCATGTGCTCCTACAACAGGATCAACAACACGTACAGCTGCGAGAACAGCAAACTCATGAATGGCATTCTCAAGGGTGAATTGGGATACCAAGGATTCATCATGCTCGATTGGAACGCACAACATAATATGAATAGCGCAAATGCGGGCTTGGATATGCTCATGCCCCTGGGTGGTTCCTGGGGGAATAAGTTGACCGAGGCGGTGCGCAACGGCACGGTCAAGGAGGCGAGGGTCACGGACATGGCTACAAGGTTCGTCTCTCAACACTACCAAGTGCCTTGATTTGCAATTGCCGGCTGACAAGCGGCAGGATTCTCGCGGCGTGGTACCTCGTCGGGCAGAATGAAGACTTCCCGACGCCAGGAATCGGCATGAAGAATCTCACTGAGCCCCACGAGCCGGTTGATGCTCGTGATCCCCGATCGAAGCCTGTCCTCTTGGAGGGCGCTATTTCGGGACACGTGCTCGTCAAGAATGAGAATCATACGCTCCCGTTTACGAAGCCTCTGAGAATGGTGTCCGTGTATGGGTACGACGCCACCGTTCCTGCTACAAAGAACACAGATGTGCTTTTTCAGCTGGGGTACTACTCTTCCAAGGAGATGGGGCAGGCTGTTCTCGGAAAGGAGTACCACTTCGACCAGGCTGCGAGGGGAGGGACGATTGTCTCAGGGGGACGAGCTGGCTCCAATGCTCCGGCTTATATCAGCGACGTGCGTTCAACCTCACCCTCCAAGAAACTGGTGGCGGCAAAAAAGCTAACTAAATTCTCTAGCCACTGAGCGCTATTCAGCAAAGAGCTCAAAAGGACAACACCTGGGTGAATTGGGACCTAACATCCAACAACCCCGACGTCAATGGCGCTTCGGAAGCCTGCCTCGTCTTTATCAATGCCATGGCGACAGAAGGCTGGGACCGAGATGGCCTCCATGACCACTTCAGCGACACCCTTGTGAACAATGTAGCTTCTAAATGCGCCAACACGATTGTCATCGTCCACACAGCCGGAATCCGTCTCGTCGACCAGTGGATCGAGCACCCCAACGTGACGGCTACGATAATCGCCCACTTGCCCGGCCAGGATAGCGGTGCGGCGCTCGTCAAGCTGCTGCATGGAGAGGCCAATTTCTCAGGCAAACTGCCATATACACTTGCCAAGAACGAATCGGACTACTCTGTATATGAACCCTGTGGCCGTGGACCCAGTAACACTACCAGCCCGCAGTGCGATTACACCGAGGGCGTGTATCTTGACTACAGGGCATTCGACAAGAACAACATCACGCCCCGGTACGAATTTGGGTACGGGCTGAGCTACACCACCTTCTCCTACAGCGATGTCGACCTTTGGCAGGACGAGGGACTTTGCGAGTCTGTCGGCCATGCTACTGATTTGTGGGATATTGTCGCCAGGGTGAGAATTACGGTTACCAATACTGGTTCTGTGGCAGGGGAGGAAGTCGCCCAGCTGTACTTGAGGATTCCCGGTGCTCCGCTGAAGCAGCTTCGCGGGTTTGAAAAGGCAAGACTGGCTCCGGGGCAGCCAACGACCGTTGACTTTGGCCTTACCAGACGGGATCTGAGTGAGTGGGATGTCGGAAGACAGCAGTGGGTGGTGCAGGGTGGAGAGTACAGGGTGTTTGTTGGAGCGAGCAGCCGTGATATTCGGTTGACTGGGTCGATTGTGGTGCCTGAACGGATAGAGAGAGGGCATGCCGAGACAATGAGCAGGATAATGGTCCCGTTTATGAAAACCAATGGCCGCCACTAGCGTTGGAATTTTTATATACACATATAACGCTGTGTTGTACGCTTCGTATTATACACGACATCCTACGTTGATATATAAGGATCCGCCCTCTCGCAGCCAGCTCCTTGTCGGTTCGTCTTCCAGCAATGACCGGAAGTATATGAAATCCTTCCATTACACATTTTCGTCTCGGCTTCGGTATTGGGGTATATTCGAGTTCCTCGTCAATTGTTCACAGCATCATCACCACCAGCCCTTCTTCTTTGGCTTCTCTGCCTCCTTGGCCTCCACCTCGGCCTTGAGTGCCTTATCCATGGTGCTGACCTTTGCTTCCAAGTCGGCAATCTCGGCTGCAAAAAAAAAAAAAACTGTCAGCTAATCCGTCGACAAGGCGCCTTCAGAAATGGCCACGTCCAATCGTACCGTCTGTTTTTTGTCGGTGCTCATCCGCTTCGAGCTTCACCCATCCCCAGTAGATAGACTGGTACGTGAAGACGGCGACCACGAGGACCTTTGCAATTGGTCGCGTAAACGTTTTGTAGAATTGGGACTGCAGTCGTCAAACCGTGTCAGCTCGAGCTCCATACGGCGTCGGGTGTTTTGCGCGCAACGTACAGTTGGACCAGGCTCCTTGGCCGTCGCATACAATCTCCCCGTCGGCCGAGCCGCAAACGGCAATCGCCGCGACACAGTCGTTGCGACTGGTCGCGATATCCTTCCCAGGGCCATGGTCCTCGCTCGTGCTGTCGACGCCCGTGCTTGTCGGTTGCAGCAACCAGCGTCAAGTCGAGCTCCCAACTAAAACATGAGAGATGTGTGGCGGTGCACGTGTGAGCCACATACTCCCCTCCCGCAAGGCCACCCCCACCCGCACCCAAGCCACACGCTCGGCTTGTGGCGGGACCCTTTTTTGAGTTTCTTGACGACACATGTCCGGAACCGCTGCCTCTTGGACAAGGACACGGGTTCAACTCTGTCGCCATTTCGCATCGACATCCACCCGCTCTACGAATACCAGCACGCCCATTGATACTTGCCGTCATCTTCGATCTTTTGTGAAAACGTGGCCGTTCTCCGCGTATCCTGCCAACAAGACGAATACAAAAGGTGTCTCCGGCCGTCTGCACTTCAAATTGTTGCAAGCTCCCACGCCGCCGCATCCTTTGCACATCCTCCACCCCCTTTAGTACGCATATATAATCCGGCACAATGGTGCGTTCAACACATCCAATTCCCATGGATGCCGCTCTACCTTTGCCCTCATTCACAATCACGTATTGACCACTTTCTTCTCGCAGGCCCAAACTCTTGAGCAGCGCCGCCGAAACGCAAAGTTCGCCAAGGAGCAGGAGGCTCGCATGGGCAAGTCAGACGACCAGATCAAGAAGCGAACCAAGGAGACGCCCAAGTCTCCCATCTCGCCCGTCTGGATCGGTTAGCTCCCCCCTTCTTCCGCTCATGTTGCCCACCAATTGCGCACTGCGTGCTCTTTCCAAAGCCATCGCACCTTGCGTCGGCTTGGTCTTCAACAACCAACACGGATAGTCGCATTGCGCCAAGCGCCATTGTTCCCCTTTCCATATCCCACTATACAAAGCCGGCCTGTCGCATGGATAGCATGACTTTGCATATTGTAGATAGACACCTATATCCCCCCCCTTGCGCAACTACACGTGTCGCTTCGAACGGTCCGCATTTCAACTAACACGCGCTAGGCATTCTCGGCTTCGTCGTCTTCGGCGGTCTGTTATTCGAGGCCCTGTCCCGCATGTTCGCATAGGTCACCAACTCTCCACCAAGTGCAGACCTCTAAAACAGCACCATCGAGAAAAAAAAAACGTTTTGCCGGCGTCCCATCATCGGGTATGCGGAATCCAAATGGGGGGAGGGATGAAGCCGCAGACTGCCATGTACTGGAGGTCACGGCAATTGCGGACGACAAGTTGATACAAAGAGTTGGCCGTTGGAGGGGAAGTGAAAAGTCCACTTGAAGCCATCAAGACAGGCTCCGGCTGAAGTGAAGCGTACGATTCTCTTTGTCGTATTTTTTTTTTCCTTTAAACAATGCATGTATAGTACACGGCGTACAGTGGTTTCCTAATCTAACCGCAGGTGCTCGCGAGCGGCACCTATAAAACGGAACTGTTTCTCATCCGACTTGGTCGTGTCGCCAGTGTCCGTGACGCCTTTCCTTCCGCGAGGATGACATCCATCCGAGGATGTAGCAATGTCGTCGCTGTTGCTACAATGAGCCACTGTCCAGAGGTGTCACAGCGTCGTCAATTCGTAACTCAGCGCTCCCTGTGGAGTAAACATGACGAGTTTGGCTATGGTGGTTGATTCTTGAGCCCGGAGCCTCGATAAGCAAAACGGCCGTCCGTGACGGTCAAGACCTGGCGGTACTGTTCCTAACGTAGGTGCAGATGGGTTGCTCTGCACGGATCCAACAACACATTGAGAGGCAATTGTGAGAGGAGACTCGCATATCTCGAGACGTGGATCGCGCAGTCCACAATCCTGTGCGTGTGGAAGCGACGTTCAGTAGTCACCGGCAAATGCGTATCGCACCCGAGATTACAAGCGCAGTTTATAATTTCCTCGGTATGTACTATGTCAATGTACGCAAGGGGGGCAAACTGAGCTTCAGCCAGAGGCAAGCTCGTAGTTGATCCGGAGAGTTTGTCTAGATGTCGCGCACCCCATCGTAAGACACTGCGAAGCCTTGGTGCAAATGTAGCCATGCATAACCTACATCTTGACAGATGTCACGCGTCATACTATCATGTAGTGGGAAGGATTGGCGCAAGTTTCATCTGTAATTTACCGACATCTTGCCAGATATTGCGCATCACAGTGGAAGATGGTAGGAAATATTGCCGCAAGTTGGGCTGCAATTAAACACCTTGCCACATGTCACGAGATGATATCCCCGTCCCAACCGACCTAACATCCGCTGACGTATGAAACGAACGGATATTCTACTCCTAGACAGTTGCATATTAGCTTTGCGTCTGACTAGCATATACCTGTTAGCAAATATGTCCAATACCGTGGCCGTACTCTACACCAACGAATAAAGTTGCCCGGTCTGCAAAAGACAGCCATACAAGAGGCATATCAAAGCAAATCCAACGCACCCAGCGTCAAAGGTCTCCAGGACAGGACCATGACCAGCCCAGTTCCAAAGAATCCAGAGTCTTCGGACTCTTTGCCACGCCCATTCCCTTTTCCAAACTTCAAAACAGACGAGGTCTTTATACATGCTTGATGAGCAAGCTCTCACAGGCACGGCACGTCCCTCTGCGATACAGTGCAACCCTAAATGTGCAAGTCTCGCTGGTATTTCCTTTTTCCCCCGAGATCCAAGAGACAAACCCGCCCACTAACAAATGCAGCCTCCGCAAATAGCCGTTCTGCAACATCCTGACCCAACTCAAACTCCATGGTCGGCCTCGGTCTAATACTTCAACATAACCCGGAAAAAATAAGAAAGTAGGGGGGAAAAAGGCCTATTCCGCGAGTCAAGTTACCCTACGCTCCAGTCGGCCGCAGCTGAAAAAAAAATGGTGTTAACACCGCCGGCGGACTCCGATACAACCGACTGACCACCACAACCACCAGAGCTCATCAGCGCCGTTTTCTAAAGCGCCAGATATTGACGAGGTGGCCTTGGCAGCTTTTCTCTTTTGCTTCGACCTGTCCTGTATGGAAGTGCGTACACCACCCTCCCAGAGGGATATTCGTGAAGAATCCAGGCAATGACCACATGACAGCGTTACATTGCAGATAGGAAACTGGGCACTATGAATTTTTTTTAAATGCGCCTCGACCAAAGTGGCACTTGAATGTGGATTGCGGTGCGAAGGTGGTGGCAGGGCGGGTTGGGTTGCATTCCCTCAGCACTTTTCGCTCACGCTCTCGTTCCAAGTGACATCTTGATGCAGCGGCAGCGGGAGGACCAGGGTCTAGGATTAACAAGAATACCCCCATTTCATCTCGAATAGACTCGGGGCGCCGTGTCCCATTTCACGTATTCAGTTCGTGATGGTGTGTGTCGTAGGTGTGTGCTGTCTCGCTCTCTGTTTCTCCTCTTCGTCTTACGCCCCGTCAGCTCTCTGTACAGACATGTTGAAGAATTGAGGTACTCATACATTGGGATACAAGTTCGATGTATGCCGGGGATACTGTCCAAACTTTACCAGCGGTCCGTTCGGTACAAAAGATAACAATAAACGCCCTCCCCGCCCTCTCCTTGCAGCCAAAATCAGACACACCCCCTTCCCCATCAGCAAGCAATACACAATTCGTGATATAGACCAAGGAACAAGCGAATAAGCATTGGTTCTCGACCACCAAATGCGGCGCGTTGCCTTGCTCGGTGACGCAGTCAAACACGCAACGTAACCGCGCCACGTGCCTGACGACATGCATGCCTCAACTGCCTTGGTACCTTGCTTTGGTACTGCGCTACAAGCCTACAACACCGCAAGTAGCGACATTGTTGTTGTTGTCCATCGGATTATGCCCTTGGTGACGCATGTTCGAAACTGTCATCCACTTCTGGCCACCAAGTAGTGGCCGGCCCTTGCTGGACCAACGCTGGGCTGAGATTGGCACGCAGGGTATGAGAACAGCCCCCAAGGCCGCTCGTCGCCCTCCTCCGGTACTCGGTGATGCGGCACAATGACGAGAACAGTGGGGGCGGCATGATATCCTCGTGGCATCTTCGGCGTCCCAACTCGGGGGACATGGTCCCGTTGTTCCTCTGTACCACCGGAATGCAGTACCCCTACGTTCGCCGTTATACTTGCGTCCATGGGGGTCACTATTAGCACCATCGGGTGCGAGTTCCGGGCGGGCTGGCAACGGGACGGAGGGTCTCTCGTAGTTCCACCTATGTATGTACATAGTTGAAGCAAGCCCATAGGTAGTGCCAAATCAACTAGCGGGGGCTAATTCCTAGATCCGGGCATATTTTCCATACATCTTCTGGAATAGCTCGCAAAAGGCTTGGTGTAGCATTTGCGGCGGATGACAACCCCCAGATGGCGTAGGACAAACACGCAGTGCCCCAACCATATGGCGATTTGGCGTAGCTCTGGAAGTTTTCGACAACCAAGGCTTAATCCACACTGCATGTTGCGTCAGCCACTACGTAAACCGCTGGGGGTGGTGGATGGCAGCCATTGAAACCACGTCTGACAGCGGCTCTCGATGGCTTCTCATCACCTCCCACTGGTCCTACAGGGAGATGGGATCCCCTGGTGTCTTGCCGTGTCCCGAGCCCTCGGATCGTTTCCAGGATGGCCGTGACAGTCTCCAGTGAGCTGCAAATGAGTCAGCCGGGGACTGACAGCACCGCGTCCTGCGTTGTGCCCTGCCAACTGCGTCGCAGTGCTTGCTGGTAGGGCTGACGGCGGGGAGGCCGGGGAGGCGTGGTGTGATGACTGGCATGTCAGCATCTAGGTGGCTGTTCGTTGTCGTGGACAGGTGTTAGTCCATGCGGTATTAACTCGATGTCTGAATCTCTCCTCTATTCCCCAAACGCGCGGAGGGCATGGCCCGATTCCAGGTCAGCCAGATGTATCGGAGCAGAGGGTGAGAGTCGACAAGACGAATTTGCCCCCTCCACACTTCCTCCTCCGTACTCCTCACTCCCTCTTCCGTGCACAGCGGGCAATGCCATCCAAATAGCGGATACGTACTACTTTCCTAGCTTTGAGTGCAAGAGGCATGCCCAAGCCCGGAGCCGACCGCGTCCCACCAGTCACACAACCCTGATCTGCGGTTCCTGAACTCAGCCCTCGCTAACCATTATTCTCAAATCCAATCAGTGTCCATTCCGAGGGTGATCTTGGCCTCATATCAAATTGCAACGTCGTTTGAGCGCCACAATTTTAGTCACCCCTAGCGCGTGTACATCATGTTGAGCCTTGGCTGGGGCGGTGGATATGCTCGGCCTCACATCCTCACATGTTGATATTCTCCCTTGAGCGCAAGCGTTCGCTTATGAGCTCAAGGCCCGGACTGGCTTTTTCACTTCATCCTCCTCGACCTCAGGCATGATGCTCTCGTGCCGTGCCAGCTCTGGCGGCCATCGGAGCAGCCTGCTGTGGTGCAACTCCAGCGCAACTCCAAAAGCGTGGCTCTGACCTGCAGCGGCACTGACAGAAGGACTGGGCCTGCATGCCGCTGGATGCGGCCGAGGTCTTCTGTTTGGCTGAAGGAGAAAGGGACCAATGCAATACTCACTGAGTTTCGTATGAGCCGCCCATATCAACGAGCCTCCCAACTGTCTCGTCAAACGCATATGTCCTGCTTCTCATGGACAGGAGCTATTGCAGAGCTCATGGAAGCTTGATCTGTCTGGAAGAAGGACAAAGAGTATTACGGAGCAAACGGCCCGCCCTGGAAGACCGAGATGGATCCATGATAGGCAACTCGTGTATCGGCCGGCCCCAAACAATCCTTTGCCGTGCCACCCGTGAGAATATTTTGTTCCAACTACGGAGTATATCCACATAACTAGTAGCGCCACTTGTGTCAACATCTCTTTTAGGATCTGGGCATATATATTCCCGAGTCGATCCGCAGACTGGAAACATTCGAGCGATAGAATAGGCTGTCATTCTTCAGCAGCTCTCGTCCACTGCCCTGAACACATGAGCACCCTTAATGAGCTAGATCATCACCTCATCATGTGCTCTGACCGGATGGCTTGCATGTCTCTTCCTACCCTGGTGACCGAAACCCCCAAGGTGGGTTCATCCTCAAGTGGTC